CGGTTGTTGCGGCGTCGAGAGCCCTGTACTCTGCTTCGGTGGAGGATCTGGCTACCGTCGCTTGCTTTTTGACTTCCCATGAGACTTGGTTGTCTCCTAGGAATGTGTAGAAACCCGAAATGGATTTCCGGTCGGCATTGTCTGACGCCCAATCTGCATCGGTATACGTCGATAGCTGGAGATTGCTGAGCGTAAGAGGCAGACCATAATGGAGAGTGCCTTTGATGTACCGGAGCAAGCGTTTTAGAGACTTGAAGTTTTGGTCGGTTGGAGCATGCATGTGCTGACAAATGCGGTTGGTGGCGAACACGATATCCGGACGAGTGATTGAGAGATATTGTAAGGATCCGGCTAGCTTGCGGTAAAGCTTTGGATCCGAGAACAGAGGATCTGAGTGTTCCGGATTTTCTTTTGACAGAGTGACCGGTGTCGGAGCCGTGCTGCATTCTGCAAGATTGGACATGTGAAGGAGCTGTTGGGCATAATGTCTTTGGTCCAGGAAATATCTGGTTTTGTTTTTGGTGACTTGAATGCCAAGGAAGAGGGAGACTTGGCCAAGTTGTTTGAGTGCAAATTTTGATTTGAGCTGGTGGAGAAGAGATTGGATGGTGGGCTGATCGTTACCTCTTAGAAGAATGTCATCTACATAGATGAGAAAGAAAATTTGAATGTCATTTCAATTAAAAATTAAAAGCGAAGGATCAGAGCGACTAAATCGGAATCTGAATTGTCGAAGAAGAGTAGTTAGCTTTTGGAACCATTGGCGCGGTGCTTGCTTAAGTCCGTAGAGTGATTTTTGTAATTTGCAGACGTGGTTTGGTTTTTGCGAGTCGATGAAGCCCGGTGGTTGACGCATATAGACTGTCACGACCCAACCCGATCGGGACGGATCTCGCTCGCATCGGGTCGTGCCCAAACTCAAACTGACTGAACTGATTCCAGAATATGGCTTTGGAATTTGTTTCAAAACTTTCTTCCAAATATTTACACACAAAAACAGACACACAGAGCTCCTATAAACATCAAAATGCAGCGGAACAGATCATCTATCTTTTTCTTCCTAAAAAAGAATCATATACAAATACAGCTCATGGCTTTCAGACAGAAAGAAAAACAGAACAAAAAAGTCATGATTGTACAAAAATCAAAAGTACAGAATACCTATAACAGATCAGACTCTGAACTCCTACTCCAAGACTTCCTTACATTTCCCAGAACCTAAAAACCACGCAGAAAACAAGGAT